CCATGGGAGCAGCAGAGAATGTCCTTGGGAGTAGGCACCCTGAAAGCACTTTGTGCACTGCCTTCCCTGGCTGCTAGCAGGGCAGCTATCAGTCTTTTGAGTATGTGAAGGGGCTGTGCTCTGAGTTAACCCTACAAGATTGCTTCTATATCTTGGCTATTGTAAACAAAGCTGCAATGAATATAAGGGTAACATATATTTTTTCAAATTAGTGTTTTGGATTTCTTCTTATAAATACCCAGAAGTAGAATTGCTGAGTCATAAGGTAGTTTAATATTTAAATTTTGAGGAACCTCCATACTGTTCTCTATAGAGACCACTCCAGTTTGCAATCCCACCAATAGTGCATGAAGGTTCCTTTTTCCTCCCCATCCTTGCCAACACTTGTTGCTTGTTGATTTATTGATAATGGCCATACTGACAGGTATGAGATGATATCTCAATTAATTGTGGTTTTAATTTGCATCTCTGATGATTAGTGATGTTGATCAACTTTTCATATGCCAAAGTCTTTCTTTAAAGAGAAAGTTAACCTGAAACTTAGGCATTTAAACATTTATGCCCGTATCTAAAAGAAACCTAGTCTCATCGAACCCTAATTAAGATAAATGATGTTCTTTCAATTCTTGCCCCTAATTAATCCACTCCTGGGTGTGACTCACTTTGGCTGACATGGGATTTACAGCTCTAGGGAACTGTCTTTCTCTCCCCCACAGCAGGCCCCTGAGTTCCTCTCCACTCATCATAAAATCCTAGTCTATTTGCCATAGCTGTAAATCAGCTCTGGGCATACTGAAGTTCGCTACTTAAGACGAGTCAAGTACAGCACCCCCACAGTAAGTATGCAGTTGGGGACAGAGCCAGTCTTGTAATTTTTGCAGACATTAGGAATGCCTTATAGAATAGAAGGACTCCCCTGTGATTGGAGCATCTGTATAAAATCCTCCAGTGACTCTATGGAAATCATAATATATGCTCTGTGCCAAAATAACCTAAATATAGAAAAACTTTATCAAACACATATATATGACAAAAGGTAGAATTTCTATAACCTCTATTGCCTAACATAAAAAATATATAGTAAAGCATGACAGCATCAACATTCTTTAGAATTATATTCATTATTTTCTCAATTTTATTGAATATTTCATGTCTTTATAATTTTTCACAAAATTCTCCAAGCCCAAGATTTAGCTGGATGGATCAGAAGTCATCATTCTCTAGCTCCCTTGAGTTAGTACACAAATTTATACACATGTTTCTCTTAGCCTTCTAACGCCAATAAGCAGTTTCATGGTATCAGGTCTTGATGGCTACTGTCCTGAAGACAGCCATCAATGACTTCATTTAAATTGAGCACATAAATATTAATTCTTTCTCTATATTGCAGGATTTTAATAAAATTTAATTTTTAACTCAACCTGAAGAGCTAAAAATGAATTATCTTATTTTATAGATTAGGACAGAGGACCCTATAAGCTGAGGTACTTTTCAAATTCACAGGGCCACAGAGAGCTGTATTTTCACTCAAGATATTTGAATTTTTGCTGAACTGTATGAATGACACATTCAGGCTTTCAGTGGGAAACCCTGTAACAGAAAGAACACTTAGCTTCTCTTAAACATTGAAATATAATATTAATATTTAGCACAGATACACAGATAAATACACAGAATTCACTGTAAGAATACATTACAGTTTTCTTCCAAGGAAATTTTTCTTAAAGTTCTCTCATATTTCAATTTAGATAATTACATTTTCTGAGATGTGAGATGAATTTCTTTTCTTACTAATCCATTAGCCTTTGGATCTCTAATATATTAGTGAATAGAAATTGAAATAGTGAGCATTCTTATCTTGTTCATTAAATAAGTAATATTTGATTATTGTTCGATAACACCATATTAAAGAAGTCCCGTTCTGTCTGGTTTGAATTGATTTTAAAAAACTGTAAGTAGAAAAAAATCATTTCTTATTTCAGTTTCGATTTATCTGTTTAGTCAATTATAATAAGTTATACACACTTAAAAATATTATACAGTATCTAATGTTAAATTTTGAGTAATTAAATTTAAAGTAATTCACTATATTCTTAAATATTTTAAGATAACTTTTCCAAATCCATGTCTCGATTTTTATTTTTGTTTTCCATTGAACAATATTTTATACTGTGTATATTTTATGACTCTCTTTAAATAATGTTTTTCATTTTTTTGAGAATTCTTACTACATTTTTCCAATTTAGGTACTCCAACATCTCATTTTTTATCCTGTTTTGTTTACTGTGAAGTTAGTTACTATAATATTCTTTATTAATTGATTAGTTTCCTACTTTGTAAACACTTTTTGCTTGTAATATATGTACTTAAAATTATAGATTTATTAATACTATTTATCCATATTCTTAAAGTTTTAAGTTTCTCATTGTTTTTCTATTCTTTCCTTTTCTTAGTTCTGTTATTATTTTATGTTTGATTCATTTATCAATTCATATTATTACTAAATATTTCCAAATTTAAAGGAATTTCTTTTATCTCTTTTATGGTCTTTGGTATTAATTCTTAGTTAGTTATAGTAACAAAATATAGAAATGATTCCTGAAAGTATCATCTTAATTCTTTGTTAGTTCTAACTCATGACATAGAACATGAATGATATATATACTTGTGTGCTTAAAATGGTCTTCAATCTATTTTTTGTAAGTAGGTTATGTGTAAATCCTTTTGTACAAAATCGTTAGTAATGCTATAAAATCTATATCATTACAATTTTTGTTCACATATTCATTTCGAGAAATATATTTAAAAGCTTTTTAGCATACTTTGAATTTTCTACCTGAATTTCTTTTACAGTAAGCTTATGTGTTTAGATTCACAAGAGTCACAGTTATTACATTATCCTGTTAATTGTTCCTTACCTCAATGTATAATTATCCTAATTGCATTAATGCTTTTAAAACATCTGATATTGATATTATTAAATTGTTTTGTTTTTAAAAGAATACATAATTCATTCTATATATTTGCTTTCAAACTGCATTTTACGTGTCTCTTAGAAATAGTACATAGTTTTAAAAAATTTAATCTTAGAATTCCTTTTTTAATTGGCAGATGTACTCTATAATAATTATTGCATTTACAGATATATGAGAATTTTTTTATGTTCTAGAATACCCATACTTTTTAAATTTTATTTTGGCTTTGATAAAATATCCATTATTTTCTTCTGACATTTTATTATTTTGACATCATTCTATCCCCAACCCCACCATTGCTCCTTTTGGTCTTTACCCTGCTTAGATGTCAAAAATTCTCACTTCCTCATGAGTAATTCAAGAATCTTGGTCATGTAAACTGTTTAAACCTCTTCCAATATTTATTCATATAACCAATATATACTGAGTGCTTATTAAGTTCCAGGCTCTTGGATATAAACCAATGATATAAATGACAAATATACCATGCCTTTGGTTTCATTGGGAAATATAAATATTGAATTAATGGCCTAGACATTGATATACATCCTTGTTTCTTCTTTGGGCAGTTAAAGACAGTCTTCCTATTTGTCCTTTTCAGTAAAGTTGAAGCTATTCCATTGCTCTGAACTGATGAAGGAATCTCACTATCAATACCAAATATAATATATCAAAGCCATTTTCCTGTTCAGGTTTGGGTGTTAAAATGGCAAATCATAGACACTAGAGCTTTTACAGTATCTCTTCAGGTTATTGCAGCATCATTTGAAATTCAAGATCTCAGTGTAATTTAGCTCTTCATTTCAAACTCAGGTATTTTTAATTTTCAACCTGATATTTAGTATATTTGTTAAAATTATTGTTTGCTATGCTTTCTTAGAACCAAAAATTTATATTTCCTTATTATTAAATTTATCTTAGCTCATTATGTTATTAGGAGTATAGAGTACCATTTTCTGTGTTAAGATGAATGTATCCACAAAGCCTACATCAACACTGCACCTCTATATAAATGTAATTGTAATCTGCAATATTTTTTACAAATCCCATCCTATATTTGGTCCTTAATAATAAAATTTTAAAGAGTAAATAAATAATAATTAGCACAATTTGGAAAGAACATATAATGAAAAATCTGCTTTCATTTAAAAATGAAAATATTAATAAAATATTATATCATGTGGTGTCTTAGATATAGAGTGATTTGAATTTAGCAGACTACTGAATAAAAATATCGATCTCAAACTCATTAGTTTAGTTTGTTTTTGTTTTGTACCCTCTTTATTAATTATGATATGACTATTTGGACTGCTCCAGGAAACAAAAATATGTCCAAATAAGGGAAAGTTATGCAAAACCAGAAAAAAAATGGATTTAAAAATACTTAGATTTCCAAACCATATTTTTTCTTTTGTAATTGCTTGTTTTTATGTAGGACATTAGCATTTTGGACATCACTTTACTCATGAGAAATAGATATACTAACTGACCTCATATTTTGGTTGAAAATTAAATAATATTTTGAGTACTTCACAAATTCTCAAGTCCTTGAATAAAAGAAGGGTTCTTTACATATATTCAATGATATAGTGTTACCAAAAAAGACTTCATGATTGAAAACCTCTACTCTAAGTCTTGAATTTGGTCTATAAAGGAACCAACCCATTATCAAAGCCAAAGTTAAAGACCAGGCTGTGATATCAGATGATTTTATTCTTGTCCAGCTTTCATGACAAAAAGATAAAAGAGTAATAATGTTTTATTCCTCTATTATGAGACAATGGAAATAATATGGCCTGCCTGATGTAGTTTTTGTGAGGATTAAGTGAATTAACATGGAACATGCCACTACAGTTCCAATTTTATAATATATATCACATAAATGTTACTGGTCGGATGAGAACAATGAATGATGATGAATCCCCTTCCCTCTTCGATATCATGAACCTAGGCAACTTCTTTTAATATAATGTCAGAGAGATTATTAAAAACAGTAACCTTGAATATTTTTCCTCTTAGCGAACGATGTTCCAGACTCTCAGAGATTCCAACATCTCTGCGTTCCAGGTTTCTGAGTTCATTCTGATGGGATTTCCAGGCATTCACAGCTGGCAGCACTGGCTCTCCCTGCCCCTGGCTCTGCTCTACCTCTTAGCTCTCAGTGCCAACATCTTTATCCTGATCATCATCAATCAAGAGGTGACACTGCATCAGCCTATGTACTATTTCCTGGGCATACTAGCTGTGGTAGATATGGGTCTGGCTACCACCATCATGCCCAAGATTTTGGCCATCTTATTGTTCAGTGCTAAAGCCATCAGTCTCCCTGCGTGCTTTGCTCAGATGTATGTTATACATTGTTTCGTGGGCATGGAATCAGGTATCTTTGCTTGCATGGCTATAGATAGATATGTAGCCATTTGTCAACCACTACGTTATCCATCAATAATTACTGAATCTTTTGTAGTCAAAACAACTGTGTTCATGACACTCAGAAATACCTTAACTATTATCCCCATTCCTGTGTTGGCTGCTCAAAGATACTACTGCGCACAGAACCAAATTGAGCATTGTTTGTGCTCTAATCTTGGAGTCACTAGTCTATCCTGTGATGACAGGACAATAAACAGCATCTACCAACTACTCCTGGCCTGGTTACTCATGGGAAGTGACCTGGGTTTGATTATTTTATCATATATTTTGATACTTCACTCTGTGCTGAAGCTGAACTCAGCAGAAGCTACATCCAAGGCTTTAAGTACCTGCACATCCCACCTCATTTTAATCCTATTCTTCTATACAGTTGTCGTCGTTATTTCTATCACTCATAGTGCAGTAATGACAGTTCCCATCATTCCAGTTCTTCTCAATGTGCTACACAATGTCATTCCTCCAGCCCTCAACCCAATGGTATATGCACTCAAGAACAAGGAGCTCAGGCAGGGCTTATATAAGGTTCTTAAGCTAGACATCAACAGAAACTAATGTATAGAGGATGCTCACTTTTCTAATTTCTCCAGATATATACCCAGTATAATATCTAATAAGTACTCAATGGCAGAAGAACTAATAAAACAGGGCATGGTGGCAGCTGTCAGTTATAATGTATCAGTGGCAACAACTAAAACATTTAAAGAAAGGCGATACGTATTTGAAATCTTTAGATTTCAAGCAAAAATCTAAATCAAAAAGAGCCGCATCATGATGCTTAGTGCCTGAAAGGATGCAAGTGAAATATGCTGTCTGAATTTCCTCAGACCTCTCTTTTCTTTTTACACCTAATCTTTCTTTGCAACTTGTGCACTCTTTTTATTTTTCCAGAGTGTTTCTCATTTCACAAGGATGAAAATACTGATTACCATGAAAGATTACATTGATTATTTCAAGACATTTTATGATCAGTTGGAATAATATTTTTCTATTACAAATGTCCAGTGAAGCATTCTCATTATTAATGTTTGGTCTGGGAAATGCTTTTTGAAATAAGTAACCATCATCTAAGAGTCATATTCTTCATGCATCACTCCATAGAGGAATAAATAATGCCCTGGGACACCAGCTAAACAAGAATTAAAAATTAAGAGAATAGTACACTTTTAATGAACTATTAAGATATTGCTATGTGAATGTCTTGAGGAAAAAAAAACTTTATAAACATCAACATGAATAGATGTTTTATAACTTGATAAAACTGTAAAAATTGTATATGATTAGAGCACCTTTATATTTTTATACTTTGAACTCAGTATATCTAGAATTATTAAGCTCCTTTAGGGCTTGTGTACTTGGAAGGTGACCTCCACCTACCACAGGTTCTATGTTAATAAATTGGGATTAAAAGGCAGTTTCCAGAAAAAAAAGGAATGTTACTGGGGACAGCGGGCAATGAGGAAGCAAAACAATAACACATTTATGTAATTTATTTTGCAGTGGGAATGCCCTCATAATTTCACTGTGGCTAAAATATATACCAAACATCATGAAAGAAAAATATATCAGGACTCTTTTCTGTACTGCCAATGCCATGATTATACTATCCTTAAAAAAATTCTCAGTGGTCATAACAAAACTTATGGTCATGTTCAGGAATAAATTTTTTGTCATTTTTGAAGACTTTTATTCTTCTTTCCCAGACTGTTCATCTTTTTCAAGGGGACTTCATCTACTTACAGCCATACTCCCTATTCAATTCAAGCTTATTTAGGGGCTCCTCTAAATCATCTTAGAGCCAACTCAAATATGTTTTTTATTTACTGTTTATTGTTTATTTATTTACCCTGCCACCCATTTATCTGTTAAATTGAGATAGATTGCTAAAATGCTGGTGATAAAATAGGAAAAAAGTAGAAATTGGGTGGAAATAGGGTCTAAAGAAAATACGAACAAGAAAAAAAATCTAATTGTAAAACTCACAAAGAAATTCATACTATGCTCCTTAAAAAATGCTACAATTGAAATTCAAATGTTCTTTCACCCATCTTAGCTACAAAAAGTAAGAATTCTGAATTACAAATTTTATAAAAGCTTCATCAAAACAAGTGTTCTAGGGAGCCCAACATTGCTGATACTGAGATGGGAGATGTGGTATTTTGCATGAGTCCTAATCAATACAACACAGTGATGTGATTTATGACATTCCCAATAACATATATGTAATAAAAATAATTGATGTTTCTGTTGTTATATAGTGTATTTCCTAAGACCAAGGAACTAACAAGAAAAAAGATTTAGTAAAAGCAATTTTATAAGGGTATAATACTGATATCAGTGTGGTCCTAGTATAAAGTTCTCTATTATTTTTTCTCATTTGAGTGTAAAGGTACCAATATATAGTTGAATACAAAGACTGGTTTTCCTTCAATCAGTCGTTCATTAACTTGACATCTATCTTGACTTTTTTATATATTTAAGATCATCAGTACTAATAGGAATTAGGGGTACAGCTAGTATAAAGTGTATTTCTATTTAAGGGATATTTCATAATTTTTATTAATTCACTAAATGATACATATAGTCTTGCCCTAGACCAAATCAAGATTTTTCATTTGCATTATTAGAGAACCTTCTTAATTCTCATGATGTAGCAGTTTATATCATATCA